GAACGCCAAGGTCAACATCAAAGGGAAGTTTTCCTTTTCAATGATCTACTTTTAGTAACCAAAGTATATAAGAAAGGTGCTGCATCACGAACCTCTGTAACATCATCTTCAATGGCTTCAAATCAGCTGGGAAATGGTGGTTCAGTGGCTTCACAATTGTACAGTTATCGTCGAAGTATTTTATTAACATCAGTCAATGTTTCCCTGTTCTCTACACTCTATTATCCTTATGGAATTAAAATTTCCTCAAGAGTTGATAAAGATAAAACATTGATTTTATTTAATGCACGTAATGATACAGATAGATTTAAATTTTTTGAAGACCTTAAAGAAAGCATTGCTGAAATGCATCAAATGGAAATAATCCGAATTCAGTCAACTATGGGTAATTCAAATGGTTGTTCAGCTTCAGCTTCACCTTCAAATAATTCTTCATCATCAGCCAAAAGATTAACAGTTAATTCTGTAGGTACTGTTTCCAGTTCATCAATACCTACCACTGGAAATAGTAATACATTGAAAACGTCTTCTTCCATTTCACATTCGTCTTCATCGGCGACAACAATAGCAACACCAACAACAACATCTACAGGAAATCTTCCCAATTTAAATCATTCTTCTCTTATGGATTTAACAGCAACTTCATCCAATTCTTCATCGCCATCTTCTTCATATTCCTCACCAAAATCAGGACTTTCTTCTAATAAACACCAAGTTAACAAAGTATCAGTATCAACATCTTCATTAGATTCTGCTCTTCCAAATAATAAAGCATCACTTCCATCTTTACCTATTCAACCATCTTCTTCTCAATCAACTTCCTCTTCATCTTTATCAACTGCAGCAGTAACAAACACAACAAATCAAGGGTCAAATTCAAATACAGATTCAATGACTAGTTCATTGTCAACAACATTAACTATGACACCACATAGTCTTGTCTCATCAGCATCATTATCATCGTCATCATCAACATCATCATCGTCGTCATCTTCATCAACAAACCAACCATTAACGTCAACTCAAATTCAAAATTCAACATCGACTGCGTTAACAGCGACAACAACTCATTATGTTTAGATAATATTGAAATTTTATTTTTGTTTACTCGAATTATTCTAATCATTATTTTCTGATGCTGATTACTCAAAAAACAAACAACCATAATAACATCAACACCAAATTCAAATTATTATCGGCAACGTTAAACCTAATATTCGACATAATTTTGCGCAAATAATTGGGCGCTTATAGAGATGAACCAATTAATATACCAAAAAAGACATCAAAGTGACAATAATTGAGGAAACCAAAGGAGGTATTTGTTTGAGAACCCACTCAATTTGAATTTTTTTTGGTTAAAATCAAATTATCGTCATTACTCATTCAAAATGAAACAAATTATCTCACCTATAAAACGAGAGAAAGACACAAATTTGAATTAATACCATCATTCAATATAGCTGAACAATCTGTTACAATTGAAAATAACGCCTTTCTCTCGCTTAAATGTCAACCGAGATCCATTTAAAAATAAACGAGTCAAGTCCTGATTAAGCTGGAGACATCAAGTAATAACATTAAAGATGTAGATGAAAACAAAGATAAATTGAACATCAAGTCAAACCTGATTAAAGAGAATTCAAAAATTTAGTCAAAAGCGAATCAAAACCAAACTGAAAAGCAAATGATGAAGAACAAATTGAAAAGTAAGAAAATTAGTAAGCATGCAATCAACTTTCTCACCATTGTCTACACTCAACAATTGAATCAACTGAGAATCTTCTTTCTAAAATCTAGTTTAATATCTAATGTTCATAGATTAAAATTTCCCACATTTCAATTCCATTTCTTTCAAGCTTCACTTTTCTGTTACTCTCTTTATCCGGTTTAGTCTTTACACCAGCCCTTAACTCCTTATAAATTAACCTTACCTTGTTACATCGTCTCTATCATTGTGACTTTCATCAACACTAACAATCTTTTATGATTGTACAACAACGTCAGAAAATAGTATCAAGTACATAGAAATTTTTAATTGTCTTTGCGGGACACAACTACTATTAAGATTCCCTTGTGTCTCTCCTACTCTCTCCTACTCTCTTCTTCTCGACTATCTTCTTCCTCTCTCTCCTTTTACTTTATACTCACCGGATGACTTAATTGACATCGGTAGACAGATGGCAAGAAATGAGCGTAAGCCAGAGTAGAAGAGATTGAGCAGGAAGAGAGGGCCAACCTTTAAACAGGAAAGTCTCACTTTAAAGTTTGACAACATTTCTTTCGACTTTTCTTCACAACAAATATCATCTGCATCTTCTTCTTCTTCTTCTCTTTCATTTTCTTATTTTCTTCTTCTTCTTCATCTTCGTCATCTTTATCATCATCTTATTTCTCTTCTCCTTTATTCCTTTGTTTGGTCTTTTCTCTCCTTTCAGCTCATTCACTTTGTTCACTATTTTTCATTCATTTTCATTTGATACTTTTTTGTGTGTGTATGTCTACCTGTGACCTCAAACACGGACTCGATATTGCTATTTTAACTGGTTCTACTTTTAATAATTGTAACACTCTTTCAACTGTTCAAGGGTAAACACTATGAATGAGGTCAAAACACACGCACACACAAAATTGATTTGATCATGAAAAAGGTCTAGATGATACGAGTTTTCATGGTAATCCAATTTTTTTACTGTTTGTGATTTTTATTTTGGAGCTTCATTAGCTTATCAACTTTTATTGTTTACTTCATTTTCTTGTTATTCACATTCTCTCCTTTACTTTTCTTTACCTCACTTTTTCAGTTTTTTTGCTTCACTCTAATTGTGTTGATGTTTTTTGCTTTGTTACTTGTTGGACTCACTCAGTGATTCTTGTGTTGTTTGTTGAACGAGTTTTTACTTTTGATTGATTTATACGTAATTTGCAACATGATACTTTTTATTGTGTACCGTAGTAACCGTGTTTGTTCAATTAAATACAGTTACATAGGGGATTCTGATAAATACCACCATCATGATCAATCCCATCAATTGAGGAAGGAACTTCCTGTTGGAACAACCAGTACCATCCATGGTTCAACATCAAATGGAGGTGAAAGGAAACAAGAGAATTATGAACTATCGCAAGAAATTATGGATTTACGTTTAGAGATTCTGTTACGTAAATATGGTAAAGAATCTCTTAAAGCAGCTTCAGTTATACAAAAAGCTTACCGTAATTATCAGTTGAATAAAAGGTTTAATAATTTGGCTTTGAATGCTTTACGTGTCAACAATCAGGAAAAAGAACATAAGAAACAACTTCAACGAAAGCAACAACAACGTCAACCTCAACGTAAACGGTCGTCGGTAATCGAACACCGTCTCAACGTAACCGGTGGAAAAAGTGCTTCAAATGGACTACTTGTCAGTGATTTTTTTGATGCTAGTCAATCATTTGAACCTTTACATCAACAACTTCAATCTTCTCAATTTAGTGAACCCAAATTAACTCGAACCAGTTCATCATCATCGGCTTCTAAAGGTACATTCAGTCACCATAATCATCCTAATTATCACCCAAACGGTCTCTCAAATTTTAATAATAGTATCAATAATAATATTAATAATAATTCAATAATACCTCGCTCACCAACAATGCCTTCTCTCCAATCATCTCCAGTTGTCATTAGTGGAGGCCGCGTGGTGACCAAGAAAGTCTCTGCCAATTCTAATCAACAACAACAACAACAACAACAACCGCAAGAACAGTCATCAATACCTTCTTCGAACTCAGCATCTCAACTTCCATCATCATCATCATCCGCAGCAACAACAGCACAACAATTTTCTTCAACAACATCA